ACCTGTGTTTGTCAGTTCAGAGCCTTTATTAGGCCGACAGTATTTTGTTAGGTTGTGACTTAATTAGTATATATGCGTGTGTGTGTGTGTGTTTACGAATTTAGCTAGCTAACCAAGCTTGCTAACCTTTCCTGATATTCTAGCACCAACCATATGCCAAAAATGTGGTCACTTCTAGATCCAAAAAAGCAACATGGCAAAGGCCAAAGTACTAACATGAAGGCTTCAGAACACCTGATTCAAAAGCAGTGTGTAGATCCACAGTGCCAACATCCATCTTTTATTTACAGTCTGGAATATAAGCTAAAGACAGCAGCTAAACAATCGGTGGAGCTAACGCTGAATTATTTTTTTTTCTGTTTTGAATGAAGGTTTAAACTCTTTACCCTCTTTTAAGGTTGACATCTGACGACCTGCCCTGTACCTTTAATGATGAGTCTTAGCAACCATTAGAGAAGTTTCTAGGTTTTTCCAAGGTAGCTATGACAGAAACCGCTCAGTTCAGAAAACAGCTTCAAAAGTTACGCCTAGTAGACTTTAAAGAGATAAAGAGTCAAGAGTGAATGCGTATACACAGATGGACTATAATCCACAAAAATCTCAAAACCATAGTAATAAGAAGCCATATACGCCCAGTTACTAATACCATAGTGGTTTTGCGATTGTGCAACAGGAAGAAGTTCAGTGACTAGCATGCCTTTGAGTGGCTTTGGAGTTATTCAAATAAACAGCAGCCACATCACATGCAATTCCACTGGAAGAAAAGGCTCATTTAACTTCTGCTGATCTCTCCAGTAGCAGAGATGGCCTCTGGGGACAGCCTCTGGTTAAATACTAAAGCTAACAAAGGAGAGGCAGTTCTGAACTTCCCATGGGTGCTCGGATTTCGAAGGTGCCAAGGGTCTGAGGCTGTCCCCTCTTTTGGGAAACACTTCTTTAATTCATCTTTTTATATATATATATAAAAATCTGGGTGACATTCTCTTGAGGCAAACTTTCAAACACACATCAGCAAAGTCTGCCCTTAGTTCAGTATTACTCTAGCGTTCTGTCAGGGCCTCACCCTGCTCTCTGGGAAAGACGCCCCCAGAGTGTCGACTGCTACTATCACATAACTCAATACCTAATGGAGAAAAATAGACCTTCCTTTTTGTCCACAGTGTGTAATCTGAGTTTCATAGTTTTCGCTCATTTCACAAAATTTTGGAGGCGGTGTTGTACTTCCAAATGTGACACAACTGCATGGCAGTACATCCGAGCCGCCGCAGTGAGATGGATTACACAGGAGAGGCTTAGGAAAATGATGGATTCACAGATCAATGTGTCAGCAGTGGTATCTCCTCTCTTAAGCACTGAAAGTAATCTGGAGTGATTTACAATATTGACCAGGAGGAAGGCTTTCGGGCTCCCCGTTTCTGACGGCGCAGGATCTGATGTAGCTATCCCCTGTGTCCATCACTTAATGGAAATCCACGTGACCCGATAATCCCATACAGTAGCC